CTCCCTCCCAGTATAAACCAGTATGAACCCCTTCCCAGTAGAAACCAATATGAACCCCCTCCCAGTATAAACCTCCCTCTCAGTATAAACCAGTATGAACCCCCTCTCCCAGTATAAACTGGTATGAACCCCCTCCCAGTAGAAACCAGTATAAACCAGTATAAACCAGTAAGCCCCAAAATCACTCCCAGTGAGTCCCGCAGCCCCTCCCAGTAGAAACCAGTATAAACCAGTATAAACCAGTAACACTAAAAATCACTCTCAGTGAGTCCTGCAGCCCCTCCCAGTAGAAACCAGTAGAAACCAGTAAGCCCCAAAATTACTCCCAGTGAGTCCCGCACCCCCTCCCAGTAGAAACCAGTAACCCTAAAAATCACTCCCAGTGGGTCCCGCACCGCCTCCCAGCAGAAACCAGTATAAACCAGTAAGCCCCAAAATCACTCCCAGTGGGTCCTGCAATTCCTCCCAGTAGAAACCAGTATAAACCAGTAAGCCCAAAAATCGCTCCCAGTCAGTCCCGCACCCCCTCCAGTATAAACCAGTAGAAACCAGTAGAAACCAGTAAGCCCAAAAATCACTCCCAGTGCGTCCTGCACCCCTTCCCAGTAGAAACCAGTATAAACCAGTAGAAACCAGTAAGCCCCAAATCGCTCCCAGTGCATCCCGCGCCCCCTCCCAGTAGAAACCAGTAGAAACCAGTAAGCCCCAAAAATCACTCCCAGTGCGTCCTGCAGCCCCTCCAGTATAAACCAGTATAAACCAGTAGAAACCAGTAAGCCCCAAAATCACTCCCAGTGGGTCCCGCAGCCCCTCCAGTATAAACCAGTATAAACCAATAACCCTAAAAATCACTCCCAGTGCATCCCGCACCCCCTCCCAGTATAAACCAGTACAAACCAGTACTCCTTACCTTCTCGGGGAGGCGGAGCCACACCGGCCCCGGCCCCGCCCCCAATCCCAGCACCCCCAGCGCCGCCTCCAATCGCGAGGCCGCGTCGGCCGCGAAGCCCAATCGCAGCGGGTCGGCCTCCTGGGGGGGTGTGACCACATCAGAAAGGGGCGTGGCCACACCCACCCCCCGAAGCCACGCCCACCTTCAGGCTCTCCAGGTGCCTCCGGGCCTCGTGGGCGTGGCCAATGGGGTCCAGCGCCGAGAGCAGCAGCGATAGGGTGAGGAGGCAGCCTGGCCACACCCACAAGGGGTCAGGCCACGCCCTCTCACCTCTGTCTCTTACGTGGCTCGGGGTTATACGAGGAGGGACTGGGAGGGGACTGGGAGGAACTGGGAGGGACTGGGAGGGATTGGGAGGGATTGGGAGGGCACTGGGAGGGTGGTTGAGGGTTACTGGGTTGTACTGGGAGGGACTGGGATGGGCTGGGATGAACTGGGAGACACTGAGAGGCACTGGGATGCAATGGGAGGCACTAGGATGGACTGGGAGTCAGTGGGGTGGACTGGGATGGACTGGGATGGACTGGGAGTCACTGGGGTGGACTGGGAGTCACTGGGAGGCACTGGGAGGCACTGTGATGGACTGGGAGTCACTGGGACGGACTGGGAGGCACTGGGAGGGACAGGGATGGACTGGGATGGACTGGGAGGCACTGGGATGGACTGGGAGTCACTGGGAGGCACTGGGATGGACTGGGAGGCACTGGGATGGACTGGGAGGCACTGAGATGGACTGGGATGGACTGGGACAGACTAGGATGGACTGGGAGGCACTGGGAGTCACTGGGATGGACTGGGATGGACTGGGAGTCACTGGGAGTCACTGGAGTGGACTGGGATGGGCTGGGAGGCACTGGGATGGACTGGGATGGCCAGGCAGTCACTGGGAGGCACTGGGAGGTACTGGGATGGACTGGGATGGACTGGCGTGGACTGGGAGTCACTGGGATGGGCTGGGAGTCACTGGGAGGCACTGCGACCACTGGGAGCACTGGGAGGCACTGGGAGTCACTGGGAGTCACTGGTAGTCACTGGGATGCACTGGGATGGACTGGGAGGCACTGGGGTGGACTGGGAGTCACTGGGATGCACTGGGATGGACTGGGAGCACTGGGAGCACTGGGAGGCACTGGGAGTGGGTTTGAAGCACACCAGTCCCTTACTGGGATGAACTGGTGTGAACTGGTGCCTGTGGCTCCACCCCCCCCAGGGCGGGGCCGGGTGGGCGTGGCCTCACCTCGGCTCCACGGCTCCAATTCCAGCAGTTCCCAGCAGGTCTCCACCTGTTCCCGCAGCACCTGGGGGTCGGCCACGCCCACCTCGGGACTGAGGGGGTGGGGTTTGGTCAGAAAGGGGGCGTGGCTTGGTCAGAAAGGGGCGTGGTTTGGTCAGAAAGGGGCGTGGTTTTGCTTAAAGGGGTGTGGCTTGAGCCCATATTGGGATAGAAGCAAAGGGAGGCTAAAGGAGGGTTGAGGTGGGTGGGGTTTAATAAAGGGGCGTGGCTTGGCAGAAAAGGGGCGTGGCTTAGTAAGAGAGGGACGTGGCTTAGCAAAAAGAAGGTGTGGCTTGCCCCAAACATAAGGGGGGCTGAGGGAAGGTCCAGGTGGGCGGGGCCTCGCCGATTGGGCGTGGCTTTCTTCCAGGGGGGGTGGCCTCACCGAGGGGGCGTGGTTTTCTCCAGGAGGGGCGTGGCTTACCAAAACAGCTCCCGGGCCGCGATTGGCTCCTGCCACCAGGCCTCGTCCTTGTCTAGGAGAGAAAAGGGGCGTGGCCGGGGTGAAAGGGGCGTGGCTCGAAGGGGCGTGGCAGAGATTGGGCGTGGTTCTCACCTGGCAGCAGTATCACCTGGCGGTGGGCGGAGTCGGGCTCCCAGGTGACGCTGGAGGCGTGGCTGCTCGGTGGGCGGGGCCTCTGCGGGTCGGGGCAGGTCCAGGAGCTTTGATACCTGTCAAGGCGTGTCGGGAGA